TGCAGTCCCTGACTAGCAGAGTCAATTTTTAGGTTAATTCTTAGGTCCTACCACTACTCGACAATATCTAAGCTGTCTGTGCCATCAGGATCGCTGCCAGACTGCAGCTCTGTATGTCTCCTTTTTTGGTGTTTTCATGCAAATTCTTCTGCTAGTTGGAGTTTAGTCCACTTCTATTTCCTTCCCTTGAAGGCTCAGGGGTCCAGGATTATCTTCTGTATCTGTGTTAATTGTTTCCCCTTTTCTTTGTTGAACAGGGCTGTGCAGTGTTTCTGCCTATTCTGCCATCTTACCAGAACTCCCCAGGCTTTTCTTCTGTGGCACCACTGGGTGTTTTTGAACCACTAGCCTTTAGATTAACAGTCATGCACAAACCATTTATGCTACACAGGGACATTTGGACTATAGTAAGGGATATTTAATTCCCTCTGACCAAAGAACTTTAGATTCCCTCTGACCAAAGAACATTTGAGTAACTCAGAAATATCTAGAACCCTGACCAAGATAAACTGAAGTAAAATTCTGAAGTGTATTAAGCTCATGTTTGATTCCTTCCCCAAATACTGCTGCTTCTAATCTCAATCTTCCCAATTAAAAATCCACCATCAAAAAATCAAAGAGAACTGGCAGGGTATGGTAGAAGTGTTGGATTTAGGGTTTCAAAAATCTGGAGCTCACTTTTATCTTATGTTTGCTATGTGAATTTAGGTAAATTATGTAAACCCAATGAACTTCTGTTTCACCAAAAATAAATGGGGAATATACCAAAACTATCTCACAATGTTGTTGTATTAATGACAATTTATGCAAATAAAAGTTTTTAAATATTATGGCATAGTACCTGTGGTGTTTATGTTTGTGTGTTGACTTGGCTGGGCTTGGTTGAATGGCTGGGCAGCTGGTGGTAGTTATTCCCCATGATGAGACTGACAATAAGCTCCATGATGGAATCTACTGTGAGCAGCTGAGTAGCTACCTTAAGGATGTGGTCTGCTTCCCATATATAAGAAGCAACTGTGGGAATGGTCTCTAGCCTATGGCACACTTGAACCCTGCATGTAGCCGTGTTGTTGTTCAGCAGCTTGCCATGCTCTGCCAACCTTGGGACTTCAATAGACTTGAGTTAATGGCCTGCTGTGTGGTTTGGTAACATTGAGACTATGCCTTTTTACTTGTCAACCTTGGTCTTGTCAGCTTCAGCAGCCAGCAGCTGTCTCAGTGAAGAAAAGCTTCCAGCTTCAATGGGCCAGGAATAGGAGGTAGAGCTGAAGCCCAAAGCTAAGTGGCTTCCACCCAGCCCCTAGAGCCTTGCACTTTGACTTGGAGTTAAAGCCTCCAAACTATAATAGAATAAACTCCTGTTTCTTAAGGTCAACCCATTTGTCGTATATTCCTGTCAGAGAGGCACTAGGTAACCAGAACAGTGCCTAAGGCGTTTGACTGCTAACCAGAAGGCTGGTGGTTCAAATGCACCAGCCACTCCTCAGAAGGAAAAACTCAGCACTCTACTTCCATAGTGATATCACCTCAGAAACCCAAGGAGGGGTCGCTATGAGTCAGGATCAACTCAATGGCAGTGAGTTTGGTGTTAGATTATTGTTTTGGGAATAAAAGATTAACTCAACATGAAAATTATTGTCTTCATAATAATAATGTAAAAGGCTATTAACAAGCATACCTGCACTTCAATTTAGTTATTTGTTTCAAACTTTTTATTGTGATTTGGATGAAATTTTACAAAGCAGATAAATTTTACATTCAACAGTCCTTACGCATTTTGTTTTGTGACACTAGTTACAGTACTTGCATTGTAAGAGCTCACCTCCCACTTCCTCCCTGTGGAGACCCTTTCCCTGTGTCCCTCTTGGCTATGCATTCTGGACTGCTTACTTCTCTCCCTGTGCAACTGCTATCCTTCTGATCTCCCATGGTTAATTGTTCATCTTCCTGGTATGGGTGTTCAGCTCATAGATCTGTCTAAGTTTGGCTGAGAGTTAAGCCATGTGACTGAGTTCAATTCCAAACTGAAAGAGTGACTTGGGGCCATAGTCTCAGGGGTTTCACCAGTCTATCAGACCAGTAAACCTGGTAATTTTTTTTTTTACAATTTTGAGTTTTGTTCCACATTTTTCTCCCATTTTATACAGGATCTTCTATTTTGATCTCTTTCCAAGTGGTTGGCCTTGGTTGCTGAGCACCATCTAGTTCTTCCGGTATAGATTGAGGTTCTCACAGTCCATTAGTCATTTGGACTAACTATTTCCATGTGTCTTTGATTTTCTTCACTCTTCTTTACTCTGGATGAGGAGAGACCAATACTTGGTCTTAGATAACCACATGCAAGCTTGTAAGACCCCAGTCTTTACTCATTGAATTAAGATGTAGGACAATATTTTTGTATATCCTGTTGTGCCAACTGAGCTTGATGAGCTTCAGTTAGAAAGACTCCCCCAAAATCCACACTTCCAACTCCCAAACAAGGCTAGGAGCTAAAACCCTGAGGCTTACAAGGGCTATTTTCTATTGACCAACTGCCCTCCAAGGAACAGAGAGGCACCATGACCTGAGAGCTATTATAGAGAATTGTATTGGTTCTCATTCCCACTTCCTATCCCGACTATTTATCTTTCCATAGTACCTTCCTCAGAGCCTCCTTCACATCCTTGTTCCTTAGGCTATAAATCAGAGGATTGAGCATGGGAGTAATTACAGTATAAAAAAGGGCAACAAACTTCCCCTCACTCTGAGAATAACTTTGCATGGGTTGGAGGTATGTGTAGATGGCCGAGCCATAAAAAAGGGAAACCACCAAAAGATGGGATCCACAAGTCCCCAAAGCCTTTCTGCATCCAGCAATTGAGTTAACCTTCAGCACTGCCCAAGCAATGTGTACATAGGAGACTAGAATTAGTGCTGCAGGAACCACCAAGATGATGGCTCTGGCTACAAACATCTTCACCTCTATCCCTTGTGTGTCCTCACAAGCCAGCTTCAGGAGAACAGGCATCTCACAGAGAAAGTGGTTCAGGTGATGGAGGCCACAGAGAGGCATGGCCATCATGAGACCTGTCTGAATCAGAGAGTTCATAAAACCTCCCACCCAGGAGATGACAGTTAGTGTCCGGCAGAGATGGGGGTGCATAATGGCCGTGTAGTGGAGTGGTCGACAGACAGCAGCGTAGCGGTCAAAGGCCATCACCACCAGAAGCACACCCTCCGTGGAGCCCAGGGCGAGGGAGATAAAGAGCTGGGCCATACACCCTCCATAAGTGATGGTCCGGTCGACTCCATGAAGGTTGATCAGAAGCTGTGGCACAGTGCTGGTGGTGTAGCAGAGGTCCAAGAAGGAGAGGTGACAGAGGAAAAAGTACATGGGTGTGTGCAATTGAAGGTCAAGGCGGCAGAGAGCAATGATGGTTGTATTGCCAAAGAGAGTTAGGGAGTAGGAAATTGAAATAAGGACAAAAAAGGCAAGTTCCAGCTGAGGCCAATCTGAGAAGCCCACCAAAAAGAAGCCTCCTCCAAAACTAGCATTGAGACTTCCTGCAGTTCCTGTGGAAAATAAACATGCTTCTGGCAAGACGTTAAAGAAAATGATGCACATGTGATTGGACAGTGGAGAAAGGGTGATGTTTCTTATGCAGTGACAAAGAACTTGTGTGAATTATGTTCAAAAGTCTGGTGGAATGTAGAACGTATAAGTAAGGACCTTGGATATTGGGCTGAGGAGATTTCTAAGCAAGATCTTAAAAGAACCACATGATTTCTCTTTGCCACTTACAGTAAAATGTAAGAAAGAGATAGACTTAAAAATGAACTGTGCAAAATGAAAACAAAACTTAAAGATTTGGAAAATTCTATCCTAAAATTGTCAGCAAAGATGTGACTGCACAGTCTTTTGTTAAAGAGATTAAGCCTGTGACTGATGGATTTGAAAAGCCACCCCAGCAAACAACCATAGCAGCAAACCTATCAGCTTAGACTGCAGGAGACAGAGAAAGAACAAAAAGAAAGAACACTGTCTGCTGCTTGGAATTCAACAAACAAGTAATAAGCCAAAGGAGACAAATCAGTTGTCCTCTAAGAAAAGAAAAACACCATTCCTGGGCAGTTCAGAGATCAGCAGAATATTGGAAGGAGCATAGGAAGCAGGTCCTTCTTGGTTCCAAAGGTTGAGGCCACAGTTTCATGGATTTCAAAGGGTGGGACCACAGCCTCCTAGGTTTCGAAGTCAGATTTTGCTAACTGGGTTCCAGAGTGTGGGGTTGCCAACAAGGAGGGCCAGGGCAATGGATTCACTGCTCAAAGGTGAGAAAGTGGGACTGTCATGCCCAATGGGCAGAAGAAAAAGAGATCTGGGGTAGAAGGATAGGCACTTGGATGGACTAGGGGAATGGGGCTGCCCAAGGCCAAAAGAGCAGAGTTGCTACCCCAGTGAGCCTGGAAGGTAGAGTTGAAGGCAGAAGCAAGGACCCTCCACCCAGAATCTAGAGGTGATGGCCAATACCCAGAGTCTGCAGGACATAGTCATTACCTAGATGGTCTCAAAAACAGAGGATTATTTTCAAGCCTTGAGAGTTAATGTAAATTGATCTGCTGGGTTTAGACTTGCGGGTGCCCATTATCCCTTATTTCTGTCCAATTTCTCCCTTTTTTAATGGAAATCTCTACTTTGTGCCTGTTCCACCATTTTACTTTAGAAACAGATAACTTGTAGTCTAGATTTTACAGGTTCACAGGAGAAGTGGGTTCTTGCACAAGGATAAAATATACCTGAAGTCTCATGCATGCTTGATTTAGATAGTGCAGAAAATGAGATTTGGACTTGGAGTTGATTTAAGACTTGTGGGATGATGTGGTGGTTACTGTTCCTGTGTGATTACATGGTGTATTTTTCGTCCATGGGCTTTTAGTTTTTTGATGATTATTCAGTTGTAATTTGTGTCTAACTGAGTGGGAGACAACAACAATCCTCATAAGACACAAATACAGCCACACCTCCTGCTACTTCACTTAATGAGTGAGAGCAAATTCCTCCTTCTCCACCAATGGGCCAAGGATAAAAAACCACCAAGAAGAGCCAGAACCACCCTTGGCTGCTCTTCATAAACAGTTAACAGAGATCTAAATACAACGATGTCATGATGCCTCGGAAACAACAGACCATCACAGTCCACACAAAGAAGCAGGATAAAGTG